ACAGTAACACTTACCAGAGGTGAATTCCCATAGGTTGCTTTATGAGAGATTTCTTGTTTTAATTGTCTTTTGAATCAGAATAATTTCTCTGTGTCTTTTGAGCGACAGTTCGGACTCAGACTGCTATACCATGCACCATTGATAAGTATGGCAAATCTTTATAATATAAAAAAAAAACATGTAAACACTTTGTGGAGTGGCGGCCCATTAGTGAGAGTTAATTGGTACTTCATGTTTACTGATCTTTCCGCTGATTAAATAAACATCAATCTGATCATTTTCATATAGACGGAAACATACAAAACGTGTAGAAAATGCTTTTATCATTGAACCATTTATTGTTATCTGTATTGTTTCCTAAAATGGTAGTCACGCATGCTCTATTTTTAGCCAAATAAACCCGATGCAAAAGGAAAAAAAGAAACATTCGTGTAAAACTTTATGGTTATGCTGAGACACGTATTGTAGATATGAGCGATGCGTGAGATAGAGTGAAATCTAATCTAACCTCCTATGGGACATAACGCTGGATCGTCAGGAGTTTGACATTGTTGTTATGGAAAAGACACATATTGAAAAAAGCGTCAATATAAAAGGAAAAAGTCAGACAACAACAAGGCCCGAGAAGAAAACGATACATGGGAATGACAAATGCATTTAAAAAAGAGACAAACCCGCTTTTTGAGAAGAAGAAAACCGAGTGAAGATTCGAGTGGGGAACTTGAAAAAAACTAGGTTTAGAAAGAATAATATGAATATCATCAGAAATATTTTGGAACATTCAGATAGGAATGCATTTATTTAAAAAATCCTTTGAAACAAATATCGCTTACTAATATAACTTATGCCATGGAAAAATAGGAAGCTCTTTTTAGCTTCATAATTATCACCCTTGTTAAAATACCACATTGTTTAAATGTCAAACTGACACTATAGACGAACTAAATGTTCCAAATAATCATAGTTATGCCTTATTAAGATTTAAACATGAAACTGTATGAATTGCGGTAATATCTATGTTAAATATTTACTCTGATTCAGAATTTGTACACTTAAGGAAACTGGTAATAAAAAACTATTATACACTTCTGCTAGTGAGGATGAATTAGCTAGATATTCTACATACATTGGGAAAGTGTTTCTGAAATGATTCCTAGTATTTATACCACAAATAGATGATTCGATGTTGTTAAGCTTTCCAATTACCCTCTCTAGATCCGAAGCCATCGGAGGTGAGAATTCTTGACCAACGGGTGCAGCGTCAAGCAAAGAACTGACGCTACATAGCAAGTAGTAAGTTAGAGTTGTTCCCCTTGACTACGCTTTGAAGTTCGTACTATACCTGAGTACTTTGTACCTCGATTGTCTTTCTATTGCTTCCACTGAAACAGAGGATTTCCACGCTTTTGAGAGATGCTTTCCTGTAACGGCTTTCTTGAGGTTTTTAAACAAAGTTGTTGTGATGGTAATAAATATGGTTTATGATTAACATATCTGTGCATGGGGTTGTGGTATGCATTGGTCTATATAACGGTAATGGAAAGACTTGCCGTAAAGGGTGAGTGTGGTTGACTTTAATTTGCTATCTAATGTAGAAGCACCAAACTAAAGATTGGTACCTACATCCACTGTGTGTCAAACATTGTATTAATCAGCATAAGTATACAAATGTTACTGATTTTAAAAAAAACACCGAGATAAAATATGCTCTATGCAAGAACTGTACAAGAGATGAATTCTACTATTAATGCATCAGTAATATACTGCATACTGTATAATTGTAATTTTGTATAACTTAACATATAACCCTTTTTATATTCTTATATTTTTGATATTGTAATATAAGTGAGGAAATCAAATTTCCATCTACCTATCATCATAAAGTTTATGTGATTGAGGAAATTAATATAAAAACGCTATATGTACATGTAGTTTTGTCCAGTTTTTTGTTTGTTTGCACATTAACAACAACCAATATTAATTGATTCAATGGTAGAGGGAATCCGACCTCAGCTGTGATCTGGAAATATTCTGCACTGTAGTCGACACACTTATCCGGATAGCAATGACAACAGTGATCCTACTCATTTCCGTGAATATTTTTGAGCGATTACAATTCGCTGCCTCGTGTTTTTCATCTTGTCCAATTTGAATATTCGATCTCATATGATTAAAACAAATTCCAATTCCATGCAAATTTATTGAGACATTCACTCGTTTATTCCGAGATTAATTGAAACAAAATATGCAATCATGATTTAAAACACATTTGATACATGTTGTCTCCATCAGAGAGGTTTTTTATCTTCAAATAGAGAAACGGTTTAACTTGTAGTTTGGCAGTGTATGGCATGCGTACTTTACTGGTTACACAGAAGTGCGGCTTCACCGATATCCAAAATAAGCATCGTCAACTTTTCTGTCTGGAATTTGTTGTTCAAAGTGTTGACAGCTTTATTATTTGTTAAAATATATTTACATATTCGAGTTTCTTTCGAATAATTTACTCATATTGTTGTATATCTTTTCTAAACCAATAAGTTAAAACATATAAATGTACCGATTTAGTAGGTATGAGATTAAAACACTCCAAAACATAATATCTGAGACATTGTGGAGTTGTTGTTAAGATAACCAATCTTTAAAACATTGGGTTAAGAATCTTACACCTCTTTACTTCCCCCTACAGGTTCAAAAAACACACACTATAACCTCCGTTTTGCTGAAAGTTACTGTATACCTAATTCACGACTTCAATTAACAAATTTGTCTTTTTTTCCCCTCCGCAATCTGACTCTGGAACCAGTTAGACCTTAATATAAGACACAGCGCTCATATACAGCTTTAAAAGATACTCTTCGACGGCTAAATACATTAGAAGTCCCTACGTATTATCTCCTTGGTGATCGAAAAAGTAATTTTTTTACTCTCTCTCTCTCTCTCTCTCTCTCTCTCTCAATTAAAGCCATTGTAAATATATATATGTTATATGCCATCTTGATGATTTGTAGTAATATTGGCTTAATATAAGTTGTAAAAACGTGTGCCCAACGTTAACTCCCATCGTATATAAATTACAATAAAATATGTTTTAAAAAACATTGGGTCTCGGAAACCTATGTGTTTTAAATATCATGATTTACGACAGGCACGAAGCTATATTCAATATTAAACGTTTTGATATTTAATAGATACAAAATTGAAAAACGATCCACGTTTTTAATCTATACTTCAACGTTTACAGGGATGAACTCATCATGGAGGATACCATCGAGTGTAATACAGTGTAACACAAACCCTTCTAGGAATACCTAGTTAAGTTACATTATCCTGATTTATGATGTTTTACATTTAGTTTTGGGGTCTCTGTATTTTACTGGGTGCCATTGTGTATCGACTATGAGTTACATTAGTCCATTGTGTCTCATTTATCACCTTACCACAAACTCATATAATCAGTTTAGCAGTGAGCAGTTTTTAATGGTTGATATTTATAATACTTATTTATAGTTATATTTTATTCGCATGATCACATTTATGGTACACCACTGAAATAAATCAAATTTCTTGTAATACGTTTGGGATATTTACTTGATTATACAACGCAAAGCAGGTGATTGATATAACGAAGATGTCATCCGAAAAAGAGGATGCGGAGTCCTTCCCTATTTACTGATAAAGAGTTTTTAATATTTATTATGTACAGCATAATAATGTGTGTTATGGAATAAACATCCATTGTTTATAGATGAGGCTATCGTCTACTTTGTAAACTGTGGATAGAATTAGAGGTCCTCTGGTCATGTAGCAGTGATTTTGTTTTTATCGGTGCTAATTATGTTTTGGTGATCGGGATTGTGCAATGGATAGCGCATTTGCCTTTCCCCAAGGCGTCCGGGGTTCGATTCCTTGATCGGCCGTGAAAAGGTATGGAGTCACCTGCCCGACAACATGGATTTTCTGCGTGTACTCCGGCTTCCTCCCACATTCAGACCACGCGGGCGCTTACATCCGGGCTAACAAGAGTGATTAATATAAGTTGAAATAACTTGTATCTTAATTGTTGTAAAATAAATACAAAGTTTATATTTGTAAATACATTTCGATGCGCCTTTACAAAGAGTGCCTAGACTCTCAGTACTTGATATATATATTGATGAACCCTATTTTGTTTGAGTGTTCCCTGTCATCATCAATATCTTATATCTTTACCAACTCACAAAACCTGTAGCACACAGACTACACATTTTCAGTTTTATCTCTATTGCGAAATAATAATATGGAATAGAACTGATCAATATTTATATTGAATTTTAAATAAAACCATTAATGATCCTTTAGGAACAGAAGTAACATATGACTTGTATATTGACACGGTAACTCGTTGACTAATACCTATCTTGTTTGGTATACTATAAAGTCATTGCATTGATTCTTACTGCCTGTTAGTCATGTAAGATACCTATATAGATCTACAAATAGCTTTAAGTTGTGTCTGCAGACAAAACATAGAGCAGGATAAACGTTTGGCACGCACTGATATCGTCAATCACAACTGTAGCCTAGTGTTCATCATGTGTGTAATTATTGCGTGGTTCCTTACTGAATGACTATCGTGAAGCATACAATTATACAACCACAAACTGCCGTAAACTGTGTCTGCAGACAAAACAAACGTAAATCGTAAAACACAACTGACGTTTTTTCTATATTTTCTGTATCCCTTTGAGATAAACTGTTTTCATGTTCGGTGTGACCTTGCTGACGACTTAGTTTCACCTTTGATTATGCAGTAATGATGTCCCTCCTTTTGTTTAATCACATCCTTGGTTTCTGTTATTGTCCTATCGAATACGACTTCTGATTTAGGCCTTGGTATTGTCTCTTTTCTATAGTAGAAACATAATCGATTGTCTAAGTATTATTCATACGTCGTATTTACTTTTTCCTTTTCGTTCTGTTAAGCAGTAAACTGCATTTTTTTGTCATTCATACGGGATATGAATGCCCCAATGACCACAGGTAAATTGACTAAAACGTGTTCAACACTTTATTTACGTTGTATTTTGTCTTTTTTCATGTTGGTAGAATACATAAAAAGTTCCAGCTGTTTTACGTTTGGGATATTCACCTGCTGGAAAGCGAAAAGCGCGTTGTTGAAATAAGAAAGTAGTTCGAGAAAAAGTGCATTTGTTTATTTCGTCTTATTGAGTGACAATTTTGTTTTCTTTATAAACTAACGATCAGCAAGATGAGGTATGTTTTGACTGTATAGACTGTGTTAATAGTCAACCGTCAATGGTCTGTTTTGCCAACTGCTATTTAAAAAATGCTTTTAATTGGTTTTTTTTTTATAACATTTTCCCTCCGAGAATCTCAAATGTTATAATCTTATTCAAAAAGAATTTTTTCACTTTGTGACGGATTTTAAAATGGTTTTTAAAATGACCGATCAGAGCGGCGCTTTCTCTTCACTTCATTCAGAGCTTAAGATTGTCCGTTCAGACACAGATGGAGCGACGGCAGAGCACATTATTGTTAAGGTACATCTTATCTACGTATATAAAGGTACATCTTATCTACGTATATAAAGGTACATCTTATCTACGTATATAAAGGTACATCTTATCTACGTATATAAAGGTACATCTTTTTTACGTATATAAAGGTACATCTTTTCTACGTCTCTAAAGGAACATCTTATCAACTTTCATAAAGGTACATATGATCTACGTACATAATGGTACATCTTATCTACGTACATAAAGGTACATCTTATCTACGTATATAAAGGTACATCTTATCTACTTATATAAAGGTACATCTTATCTACTTATATAAAGGTACGTCCTATCTACGTATATAAAGGTACATCTTATCAACGTACATACAAGTACATATTATCTACGTACATAATGGTACATCTTATCTAAGTACATAAAGGTACGTCTTATCTACGTACATAAAGGTACATCTTATCTACGTATATAAAGGTACATCTTATCTGCGTATATAAAAGTACATCTTATCTACGTACATAAAGGTCATCTTATCTACGTACATAAATATACATCTAATCTTCGTATATAAAGGTACATCTTATCTACGTACATAAAGGTCATCTTATCCACGTACATCAATATACATCTTATCTACGTATATAAAGGTACATCTTAACTACGTACATACAGGTCATCTTATCTACGTACAGAAATATACATCTTATCTACGTATATAAAGGTACATCTTATCTACGTATATAAAGGTACATCTTATCTACGTACCGAAATGCACATCTTATCTACGTACATAAAGGTAAATCTTATCTACGTATATAAAGGTACATCTTATCGACGTATATAAAGGTACGTCTTATCTACGTATATAAAGGTACGTCTTATCTATGTATATAAAGGTACATCTTATCTAGGTATATAAAGATAAATCTTATCTACGTACATAAAGGTAAATCTTATCTACGAACTTAAAGGTACATCTTATCTACGTATACAAAGGTACGTCTTATCTACGTATATAAAGGTACATCTTATCTACGTACATAAAGGTACATCTTATCTGTGTATATAAAGGTACATCTTATCTACGTATATAAAGGTACATCTTATCTTTGTATATAAAGGTACCCCTTATCTACGCATATAAAGGTAAATCTTATCTACGAACATAAAGGTACATCTTATTTACTCTCTCTCTCGTCATCTTATCTACGTACATAAATATACATCTTATCTACGTATATAAAGGTACATCTTATCTACTTATATAAAGGTACATCTTATCTACGTATATAAAGGTACATCTTATCTATGTATATAAAGGTACATCTTATCTAAGTACATAAAGGTCATCTTATCGACGTACATCAATATACATCTTATCTACGTATATAAAGGTACATCTTATCTACGTACATACAGGTCATCTTATCTACGTATATAAATATACATCTTATCTACGTATATAAAGGTACATCTTATCTACGTATATAAAGGTACATCTTATCTACGTATATAAAGGTACATCTTATCTACGTATATAAAGGTACATCTTATCTACGTACCTTAATGCACATCTTATCTACGTACATAAAGGTAAATCTTATCTACGTATATATAGGTACACCTTATCGACGTACATAAAGGCACATCTTATCTACGTACATAAACGTAACTCTTATCTACGAACATAAAGGTACATCTTATCTACGTATATAAAGGTACATCTTATCAACGTACATAAAAGTACATATTATCTACGTATATAAAAGTAAATCTTATCTACGTACTTAAAGGTACATCTGATCTACGTACATAAAGGTACATCTTATCTGTGTATATAAAGGTACATATTATCTACGTATAAAAAGGTACATCTTATCTACGTACATAAAGGTACATCTTATCTACGTATATAAAGGTACATCTTATCTACGTATATAAAGGTACGTCTTATCTACGTATATAAAGGTACATCTTATCGACGTACATAAAGGTACATCTTATCTACTTATATAAAGGTACATCTTATCTACGTATATAAAGGTACGTCTTATCTACGTATATAAAGGTCATCTTATCTTTTTATATAAAGGTACATCTTATCTACGTATATAAATGTACATCTTATCTACGTATATAAAGATAAATCTTATCTACGAACATAAAGGTACATCTTATCTACGTATATACAGGTACGTCTTATCTTTGTATATAAAGGTACATCTTATCAACGTACATAAAAGTACATATTATCTTCGTACATAATGGTACATCTTATCTACGTACATAAAGGTACATCATATCTACGTATATACAGGTACGTCTTATCTTTGTATATAAAGGTACATCTTATCAACGTACATAAAAGTACATATTATCTTCGTACATAAAGGTAAATTTTATCTACGTACATAAAGGTACATCTTATCAACTTTCATAAAGGTACATATGATCTACGTACATAATGGTACATATTATCTACGTACATAAAGGTACATCTTATCTACGTATATAAAGGTACATCTTATCTACGTATATAAAGGTACATCTTATCTACGTATATAAAGGTACATCTTATCTACGTACATAAAGGTCATCTTATCTACGTATATAAAGGTACATCTTATCTACGTACATAAAGGTAAATATTATCTACGTACATAAAGGTAAATCTTATCTAAGTATATAATGGTACATCTTATCTACGTACATAAAGCTAAATATTATCTACGTACATAAAGGTACATCTTATCTACGTATATAAAGGTACGTCTTATCTACGTACATAAAGGTACATCTTATCTACGTATATAAAGGTACATCTTATCTACGTATATAAAGGTACATCTTATCTACGTATATAAGGAACATCTTATGTACGTACAAAAAGGTACAACTTTTCTACGTAAATAAAGGTACATCTTATCTACGTACATAAAGGTATACTTATCTACGTATAAAAACAATAAAAAATGGTAAACCATTGAAAACAGTACCATATACATATTTCACTCGTCTAACAGAATGTACTGTTATTTTATCAGGTATATAAAAATGCTTCATACTTATGAAAAAAACTTGTAAAACTGATATGGTACTTTAAGGTAGAAAACCTGATATGGTGTTTAAGGTAAACCTTTAAACATTCTCTGTATATTGGTAATGCCAAGCGGATGTGTGTACACACAAGGAGTGGCCAGACCTAAAGCTACTTTATTGATATTTAGATGTATTTGGCATGCCGAAAACAATCTATTTACGTGAAGAATTCTCACTTTATATCTTCGCCCACTCGCAATTACTACCTCGTAATCATGTAACATACCTACATACATCCATAAACAACAAAGACAGTGTCTACAGGCAATCCATAAATCATGATTCGTCCAAAAACTAAACACAAAACTGAAAAAATAAACAGTATTTTGAAAACTTAACACGAAAATGAATACCATAAACAGCCTGGCTCCTTCTGTGATATATGTATGGTTAATCGTTGTTTACTGCCTCGTTATTATGTAACATATCTACAAACATTCACAAATCAATATGAATAGTGACTGCAGGCAATCAATAAAGCAGCTTTAACATGGCGCTCCTACTCATATCGTAGCAGACATCCGCCTTTGTTCTTTAATCCGTGTTATGTATCCCTATAAACCTTCTGATATGATGTGTCTCGTTTACCCATTTCTGTACCAACAGTTATATACTGTGCATTGCATTTTACCCAACCAAACTTGCTTTTGTATTTATTATACGATAATATACCCATATCAAAACCACAGTTATTTTGAATATACCTATACAGTTTACACTGCGTACAAGTTAGTTGTAAACTTTTCATTTTCCCTGCCCTTGCTTTGACTTCGCTTTCCAGGGAGTAAATCACCTCTGCAGACTCGATCCCCTGACAGAATCCGAAACCTCCCTACGGAAGAGACCGAGTTCATCAGGTGAGAGCCATGGGGAGTCACTCAGTTGTTTTTATTTATTATAGACGATGGTGAAAGAGAAGTTACGGCTGTCGAAAGGTTTTCGAGGTTTTCAGAACTTGCAAAATTGTATACTGCGTTTTAAAATTGTCTGGAATTCAAATGAACAGTAAAACATTGGTAGTAAGGGGTATGCGAAGATTCTGGTTCGGCATGACTAAGTATATTTCCCCTTGACTTTTCGGGAAATAAAGATGTTCCGTGGTCTGACTTTTTATATACTATAGTTATTATTCCATACTATTATCTAAACCCTGATACTTTTGTCGTCAACGGTGTATGTAACTATGAACAAACAAACTGTCGAGTTAAGGTCGAATACAAACTCCGTCTTCTCCGTCAAATACAAACCCCGTCCTCTCCGTCAAAAACAAACCCCGTCCTCTCCGGCAAATACAAACTCCGTCCTCTCCGTCAAATACAAACTCCGTCTTCTCCGTCAAATACAACCCCCGTCCTCTCCGTCAAATACAACCCCCGTCCTCTCCGTCAAAAACAAACCCCGTCCTCTCCGTCAAAAACAACCCCCGTCCTCTCCGTCAAATACAACCCCCCTTCTCTCCGTCAAATACCAACCCCGTCCTCTCCGTCAAATACAAACTCCGTCTTCTCCGTCAAATACAATCCCCGTCCTCTTCGTCAAAAACAAACCCCGTCCTCTCCGTCAAATATAAACCCCGTCCTCTCCGTCAAATACAAACCCAGTCCTCTCCGTCAAATACAAACCCCGTCCCCTCCGTCAAATACAAACCCCATTCTCTCCGTCAAATACAAACCCCGTCCTCTCCGTCAAAAACAACCCCCGTCCTCTCCGTCAAATACAAACCCCGTCCTCTCCGTCAAATACAACCCCCGTCCTCTCCGTCAAATACAAACCCCATCCTCTCCGTCAAAAACAAACCCCGTCCTCTCCGTCAAATATAACCCCCGTCCTCTCCGTCAAACACAAACTCCGTCCTCTCCGTCAAATACAAACCCCATCCTCTCCGTCAAAAACAAACCCCGTCCTCTCCGGCAAATACAAACTCCGTCCTCTCCGTCAAATACAAACTCCGTCTTCTCCGTCAAATACAAACCCCGTCCTCCCCGTCAAAAACAAACCCCGTCCTCTCCGTCAAATATAACCCCCGTCCTCTCCGTCAAACACAAACTCCGTCCTCTCCGTCAAATACAAACCCCATTCTCTCCGTCAAATACAAACTCCGTCCTCTCCGTCAAATACAAACTCCGTCTTCTCCGTCAAATACAATCCCCGTCCTCTTCGTCAAAAACAAACCCCGTCCTCTCCGTCAAATATAACCCCCGTCCTCTCCGTCAAACACAAACTCCGTCCTCTCCGTCAAATACAAACCCCATCCTCTCCGTCAAATACCAACCCCGTCCTCTCCGTCAAATACAAACCCAGTCCTCTCCGTCAAATACAAACCCCGTTCTCTCCGTCAAATACAAACTCCGTCCTCTCCGTCAAATACAAACCCTGTCCTCTCCGTCAAATACAAAGCCTTTCTGGAGGTATGTCAAAAGTAAGAAGCAGGACAACATCGGAGTCTCACCATTACGAAGCAAAGGCCAGCTACTCAGTGATGGGAAATCAAAAGCGGAAACACTCATCAACCAGTTTAGCTCTGTTTTCATCCGTGATGGAGACCCTGATTTACCACCAGTACGCATCCACATTGACGATAACATCCAGGACTTGGAGATCAGCGAGGCAGGAGTACTGAAGTTGCTACTCAATATACAAACATCGAAAGCCCCTGGACCTGATGGACTCCCGAACATGGTATTAAAGGAGTGCGCACCCCAACTTGCACATGGAGTCTCTATGATATCCCAGAGGTCGCTGGACTCGGGAATGCTTCCTCAAGACTGGCTGAATGCAAACGTCGCTCCTGTGTTCAAGAAGGGAGATCGTCATGCACCAGAGAACTACCGTCCTGTATCGTTGACCTCTGTTCTCAGCAAAATCCTCGAACACATAGTCTGTCATCATTTGCTAAACCACTTTGACCAGCACGCAATTCTGTCACCTCTCAATCATGGCTTCCGTGCTGGTTATTTATGTGAAACCCAGCTTGCTGTCACCATACACGACCTTGTTTCCAACTTTGACCAAGGTTCACAGACTGACATTGCCATATTGGACTTCTCTAAGGCATTCGATACGGTGCCCCATAGGAGGTAGCTGCATAAGCTGGACTCGTACGGCGTACGTGGAAATTTACATCGATGGATCAGTTCATTTCTCTGCCAAAGGCACATGAAAGTAGTAGTGGAAGGGGAATCCTCAAGAGAAGTCCCTGTTGCCTCCGGAGTACCCCAGGGAACAGTCCTAGGCCCTCTATTTTTTCTGTGCCACATCAACGACTTACCTGATGCCGTCAAGTCTCAAGTACGCCTATTCCCAGACGACTGCTTGCTATACAGGATCATACGCACCCACCAGGACCACATCACCCTCCAGCAAGACCTAAAAAATCTTGAGTTCTGGGCCGAGCAGTGGGGCATGCGGTTCAATGCCAGCAAGTGTTACATCCTAACCATCAAGCAGAAGTCATCTTACTACTACCAACTGAATAACACTATCCTCAAAGGAGTTCCGACTAGCCCCTACCTTGGCATCACAATTTCGTCTGATCTCCGATGGGGAACCCACATCGACAAAATCTGTAGAAAAGCTAGTTCTACCCTAGGCTTTATTAGACGGAACCTCTACCACTGCCCAGACAAAACACGGAAATCGGCCTACATCTCGCTTGTCAGATCAACACTGGAATATGGAGCCATCATATGGGACCCATTCCTACAGTCGGATATTGACAAGCTGGAGAGGATTCAAAGGAAGGCTGCTCGATTCATCTCACGCGACCACAGAACAAGAACTCCTGGATGCGTCGCCAACATGCTCAGGGACTTGGACCTGCTAACATTACAACAACGCAGAAAGGAGCTACGTCTGACCTTCCTGTTCAAGGTGGTGGAGGGGTTGGTACCGGCTATACCACCTAAGCCCTATTTAAAACCAGTGAGAATTAAACGCAAAGTGACAGCAAGGCATTTTAACAGCTTTATCTCAACAAACGTCGTTGAAAATAGTGTTACAAACAATAGCCGCTGTTCTCAAACTATTGCTGCGAAAACAGAAACACGGAGGAACTCTTATTTCCCCAGGACTATAATAGACTGGAACCATCTTCAGGACGAACAAGTCCTTGTGAAATCTGTGGAGATTTTCAAATCTCGTCTCCATTCGGACTAAAAAAACCTATGCGCTCTTCTCTCCCGTTGATTATATGCCAGAAGTGGTTTTTCAACGTACAGTTACAGATACAGATACAGAAATACAAACCGGTTCCCCCCCCCCCCCCCCCCCCCCCACCCCCCACTTAAAATACAAACTCCGTTCTCTCCGTTAAATAAAAATTCGGTCCTCTCCGTCATATACAAACCCCGTCCTCTCCTTTAAATACAAACCCCGTCCTCTCCGTAAAACACTGCCGAAGTTACGGAGAGTGTCTTTGTTCTTCTTAGACTAATATTTGAACACGAGGATTAACCCTCTTAACTGCTAATTCGGTTAAAAGCGGAGATATAGAAATTCCAAGAGTTACTTTTGTTTTAAGTAGATACATGTAAAGTAGAGATATATCGAATGTCTATACGTAAGCCAGTCATTCACTCGCACCATGCATGTTATCTAGTTCCAAATGAATAATATTTCTGTCTGCGTTTGTTTTATAAGTTACTTAGATAGCCGATAATGTTTGTTACAAGACCGGCCATTTCACCAGGTTTATTACAATCGGCCGTTTAGTGTCAGTTTAGCAGGGACAACTTTTACCGTTATTCATGCCTTTTCTGTGTACGTAGACTTAATCTATCTTCAATATACAATATATAACACTGATATTGGTCATTTATAAATATAATTCAATTTAAAGTTTCGCTGTCCTGTTTATTGCTTGTGTTTTATAAATTCAAGATATTTTATTGCCCGCTGAATCGAAACAGATAAGAAAGTCTGGAATTGATGACATTTGAAATATAGAGAAAGAAGTTTTTATCTGTGGCTTTTTATAGACAAGGTAAAATCACATGATCAGATCAACTGTTTACAATTTACATAAACAGTAACACCCTTTTATACTGCATCCCAAGAAAACGTTTTGCGTAATAAAGGAGATAGGCGACGTATCGAGGAAGAGGTACAAAGCATTTCCTAAAACAATAGGAAAGGGGGACATGGAAAATCCCCGAGGTGGCAAATGGATAAAAGGACATAAGATTGTCAGGTATTTCTTAGAATGTGAAAATGCTTTGTTACAGTATATAATCATCTACCTATTTTGAAATCTATATTGTTATTATTTGTCTGTTTACTGATATACTGTTCTATGCTTACTATCTGTATATACCTGTAACGTTAGTACACGGTTATTATATATTCGGTGAATGCTCGTCACATCCTGTCCTTGTTGCAGTGTAAGTAAAGCAACCTTCTAGAAACGGAAATACAGTTTGCGTCCTATGGACGTTTTCAAGGTTGCATGCTGACGGATACATACTTATTATAGATAAAAAGTCTCCAAGCAATCAAAAACGTCATTTCGAGTCCTAAAGACTATGTTGGTGATCTCACAGAGGACGGCCCCTTCAGCAGTAGAACGTAATATTATGAAGCCTTACGTTCTGTGTTTAATGGACTAGTTTGTACAGGTAGAGCTACAGAGCACTCTGAAGCTGACACAAACGGTTACATTATTGATGTTATCTCTCTAGACAAGAGACAGATCACGGAATGATCGTCAGAAGTGTCTTACAGCCGGGGAAAGCGATGTTCTGTGACCGTAGCATTGCTTTGGTTAATGTTGAAGCGTTGTGTACATCTATAAAACAACATATCATGTAGATAATGATGACTTTGAAGACATGTTGGATATCATGCAGAGGGAATTATGATATATAAATCTAGCTCAATGTTTTCCTATCAGTAATAGAACCAAATTGGTCACGATATTCGAATGACTGCTTTGTGCCGTCATGTTATAACCTTTTAAGAAAAGGAAGTGAATTATATTAAAATAAATTGTATGCATAATGTTATTCTCGTGTGTTATTATTTACGGCTATGTCAGTATAAATAGTGTAGAAAACTCCCTTTCTTTTGAATTTATAAAGGATTTTTGGTCTTTCTTTTCTTCGCATATAAAAACCAAGCATTCAAATAGTCGATTATAAACGACACTTATAATATTGTCGAGAGATTGTCACAACTCGGACTTAAATGTTTCCATATATAGACTCATGTTACCATTTTGCACAATATTGATTAAACATCAGCAATCATGTATATATATACATAAATATATGTACATTGTATACATACTTAAGTAGTTGATTTATGTATTAAGCAGACAAATATGTTATAGTGTTAAAAATGTATACATATTGGATCTTAAATTAGTTTTCATTTCATATGAGATTTTATAAAACAAGTCTTATGAGTTTTTATTTTTGCGAGCCTTGGCTACCAACAACACATTCAACCAAGGGAATACTGACTACAAAACGTGAACATACAGGCACTAACACGTAAACAACGTAAATCAAGCTGATAAAATACACTTACAAATGTGACAAAGAAACACTTACAACAATAAAAAGGGGACACTTACACACTTACAATAATAACAAAGGAGACACTTACACACTTACAACAATAACAAAGGACACACTTACAACAATAACTACGGAGACATTTACACACTTACAACAATAATAGAGGAGACACTTACACACTTACAACAATAATAGAGGAGACACTTACAAACTCACAACAATAACTACGGAGACACTTACACACTTGCAACAATAACTACGGAGACACTTACACACTTGCAACAATAACTACGGAGACACTTACACACTTACAACAATAACAAAGGAGACACTTACACACTCACAACAATAACAAAGGAGACACTTACACACTCACAACAATAACAAATGAGACACTTACACACTTACAACAATAACTACGGAGACACTTACACACTTACAACAATATCAAAGGAGACACTTACACACTTACATCAATAACTACGGAGACACTTACACACTTACAACAATAACAAATGAGACACTTACACACTTACAACAATAACTAAGGAGACTAATGAGACACTTACACACTTACAACAATAACAAAGGACACACTTACAACAATAACTACGGAGACATTTACACACTTACAACAATAACAAAGGAGACACTTACACACTTACAACAATAATAGAGACACTTACAAACTCACAACAATAACTACGGAGACACTTACACACTTGCAACAATAACTACGGAGACACTTACACACTTACAACAATAACTAAGGAGACACTTAGACACTTACAACAATAACTAAGGAGACACTTACACACTTACAACAATAACAAATGAGACACTTACACACTTACAACAATAACTACGGAGACACTTACACACTCACAAGAATAACAAAGGAGACACTTACCCACTTACAACAATATCAAAGGTGACACTTACACACTTACAACAATAACTAAGGAGACACTTACACACTCACAACAATAACAAAGGAGACACTTACACACTTACAACAATATCAAAGGTGACACTTACACACTTACAACAATAACTACGGAGACACTTACACACTCACAAGAATAACAGAGGAGACACTTACACACTTACAACAATAACTAAGGAGACTAATGAGACACTTACACAATAAAGTGAGTCACTTAATTGTGAAGTTTGAGTATTTCTTACCTAGCGTATCACAGTTAGTTGAATATCTTGATTTGTAGTTAAATTGCATCAATGCTACATGGTGTACACTCTTTTGAGTCTCTCAACAGTAACCCTATTTCAGACTCCCTTTAAAAATCCTCAAACAAGATAACAACAAGGCAAATATTTACTGATTGCTGCTGAGATAATGTCTTTGATAGCAATGATAATATTTATGAATTTAAACAACCACTACAATGTCAACATCTGATCAACCATAGCAAGGAATATCGGAAAAATATCCCATACGTATAATATTTTATCATGAAACATTTTTTTCTGTCGCTGTAAAGATCTTACTATACAGTAGCGTGTCCCTGGCGTCTATTTGTAGTCTTGTTATATTACCAATAACTT